TACTTTCCACCTCTGCAGATGCTGTTTGTTTTCTGCACAGACATTTTTCATTGTGTTCACTTCCTAGAAACAGAGCGAGTTGTGTAAATCAAACATTCCCCGGAGAGAGAAACAGCCACATTCAGCCTGATGTGATGGAGAACAGTGAAGCTGCTGGGACGTCATATGTGTCAGAGTCTTGTCATCGATTTCCAGTGTCTAAATTTAACTTTACTAAACAAAACACCATGGATGACGGCGACAAAAGGCAGCAACACTTCTGATCATGATGAGAATGTTGGTCCTCACATTTATTTATTTAACAGATACTCAATGAATGTCCCAGTTTTTAGGAAACTTAGTTTTATCCTTTACATAATAAGTAATGAGCATGTTGCTATTACATCTGCTGCAGGTGTCTCTGGCACTGATACGACAAATCACAGCGCTCACAGGTTTGTCTGGGCCTGTCCAAGTCTGCTGCTGAAGAAAATGCCACATGTTGTTGTATCATTCAAATCCAGGCTTGTCTGCAAAAATCCAAGTTTCTCACAGATTCAGAATTGAATGTTCACAGCTTCTGCTTCGGAACGAGTAGAGAGGGATTTTGAAAATACTACAACCAGTGTGATCACAATATTACAACATAGTGAGTGTGATCACACAGACACACCGAAGAGCTGTTGTTTTCATTTCACAAACAGGAAGAGTCAGTGAAGTCAGTGACGGAACGTATGTAAATAAACAAACATCAGCTCACCTTCACAACGAGGGTTAGATGTTAGGGTGTTACCCTAACACCTAACCCTCATCATTACACCTAACCCAGTCATTACAGTCCAATAACAACAGGCAGACAGGTGGCGTAGGCCGCACCGCGGAGTCGCATTTTCACTGGATATTTTGATGCTGTACTGTAATTGTACTTTCATTAGGCAGGACTTACAGTATTTTTACACTGTGGTATTTCTGATTTTACTGCAGTAAATGATCTGAGTTCTTCTTCCACCACTAATTAGGAGGTTACTTTGTTATAGATTAAACTACAGAATATACAAGTACAGCTCAAACAATTATTTGATTGATAGAAAAAAACTGACAATTAATTTGATGATTTTAAGTTATTTTTAAGCAAAATCAGTTTCACACTTCACAGTTTCAGATTCTCAGATGTACCCATTTGTTGCTTTTGCTTTTAATTGGGCTACTTTATTATTTTTTAAATTTGTATTTTAAGGTTTTCACTTGCACTATAGGTCTTACAGTCAACAATCAATCAGGTAACTGAGAACATAATCATCAGATTAATAAATAACAATAAAAACAACCATTAGCTGATAAAAAACTACCAAAGTGACTCCACCTCGGCTCCAACAGGAAAATGCTGCTTCCTCACATTTCTTCAGGAAGTACTTCTCATACTTTTGGTACTTTTTCCTGACTACACTTAAAAACTTCGACTAACATTTTCAGTGCAGGACTTTTACTTGTAATGAAGTATTTTCACCAAGTGGCATTAGTACTTTTACTGAAGTAAAGGCTCTAGATACTACATCCTCTTTTGCAGGTCACCAGAAAAATACTAGGTGTGTACCTGCATGTAAGAACAAGGGCATTAGACAAAAGGTCAGGGGATAAAGGGTTAATGACTTTGTGTTTAAAAGAGATTTAGAAATAAATGACTATTTATTAATTTACGAGCCACATGTACTTTTACTCCTGTGGTCGTAGGACATTTACACAGGGTTTTTCAGAAAGTACTTACAGTCATCTGCCTTCTTTTTCCTGTACTTCTTCACTTGTACCCCAGAACCCGGACCCGTGTCCCTGTGTGGACTGTGCTGAAATGATTGTCGCATCACAAACTGCTGCACAGAGACACGCTACATGTGTCTGTCTAAAGATGAGCTTCTGTCTTTATGTCCTGCTCACACACACTCACACACATACACACACCATCACTGCAGTAGTACTGTACTTACACACACAGCTGAGCCTCAGAAGGATCAATAAAGCCAAAAGCAGGGCGTCCATGTTACTGTGCTGCAGCGTTCACGCGTCCTCCAGCTTCAGATGAGTGGAATGGAAGTGCTGAAGGGAAGTGCGTCTTTGTGGGGAGGAAAAGTCAGTGCGCAGCGCTTCCTTCTATTCAATTGTTGTGCAGGTTTCACAGTAAAGGAGCTGCTGACCGACGTCTGTCGGAAATACCACAGTCATCGCACATGTTGACTTGTTCTGGTAAACCTGAGGAAGAGGAGGCGTGCACGGCCTCTTTAGTTGAACACCGTGATGCAGACATTTTGACACTTTTATCAAAAACTAATCCTCAGAGAGAAGAAGAGCTCAAGTCCTGTTTCATCCAGATTTGGTTCAAAGTCACACACGAGGTGTAAAAGCAGCTTTAACCGGGTTTGACAAGATCAGTCGCTGATCCTCTGGTAACCAACAAACCGTTATTTACGCACGCTGATGTCAAGTCGGGCATGTGGTCACTGGGTTTGTGTTTGCCTCCTTGTAAGACGGAGGCTGTTTTTTACAGAGTGGCGGACAGAGGGATGTGTTGGAGCAAACAGTGAAAATATGAGAATACTGATGTAGTTAAAATGGAATGCTGAAAGGATTCAGTTTTGTTAGTTATTCCTGAAAGGCACGGGTGCTGAAGCTCTGAGGATCTGCCAGTTCAGCTCTGTCAGAGGCCAGAGTACCTCAGACCGCCAGGGCCAGTTTCCTTACTAAACTCGAGTGTGTGGTCTTCGCACTGGGGGGATTCAGTGACACCGGACTAACTGATGCTGGAGGCTGCTCACTGAGGGCCAGAGCCTCTCTGCGTGCTGCGTGCTGATCTCCGTACAGGTGGAAGCAGAGCCGCGCGTCTGTCTCACGGTACCGGAATGTGCAGTGCAGATCTGTGTTGGCCTGCACTCGTGCTCACACTAATATTAACGCACGAACAACAGCACAGCAGCGACAAGAGTGAAGGGCAGTGCCCTGTTTCCCTCTTCAGAATGTCTCGGAACATTTCTGTTCATAGTTGCAATAAAGACATGTTGGTGACTGAGGAAACACAGGATCTGACGTATTGACTGTAACCAGAACCCGGGTCAGCAGCCTTGTCCTTCTTCCTACTCGTATCTGCAGGCACACTGCTCCTCCAGCACTCAGTCCACCCCATCCTGTCCTGTCAGGAGGAAGAGAAGAAAGAGCAGTAACAGCATCTCCACCCACCACATCCTGACTGCAGCGGGTTCACATCCCAACCTGGACCTTCACGGGACTCAGACCGGCTCACGGACTTTCGGGGCGGTCATGATACCTGCTTAGACCATCAGTGACAAACTGCAGGTGGCTCGTCTTCCTGCCGTCTCACAGACCAAAGGACAGACGTGGAGTGACACATGGAAATACACACATTTCTGGGATTAATGCTGAAATAGTCAGAGAATTTCTCCTGGACGATAGAGAGTGTTAGTCCACGACTGGAGGATGTAGTCAGAGATACTAGGACAATATTTAACAACAAAAAAATTCTTGTGCTTTTGGTGCATTAACATTAAATTATTATCTGTTTTTGGACACTTAGACAGTTGAGGAGAAAACTGCTCTGATACAGGAGAAAGCAGCAGCACGCTGTGACGATGACTTTATTATCAGTTTTATTTGATTTTTTTGGCCATATCATAGAACAGAAAGAACAGAAAACAATAAGTATATCCACACAACAAAGCGCAGTAAACTAAATGTATGAAGCAAATTGGAACGTATAAGAACAATATCTGACATTCTCTGTCCTTTTAGAAGCAGCTCAGCTATGACTGGATGGAAACAAACATTTCAGAAGGAGATGTTGTCCTTCTGGCCCTGCAATGGACTGGACTGTACCCTGCCTTTGCCCGATTGCTGGCTGGGATTGGCTCCAATCAGCTGTTCAATAATCTGGGTCTCAGCATCATTGTGCCGGCTCAGGACGGCTGTCAGTTCCCTGATTGTTTAAGTGAGAAGCATTCGGAGATGTCAGAGCTGAATGCTGAGCCTGTCTGTCCCTGTCCCCACTGTAGCGTCCTCACACAGCGATCCAACTGCACATCCTGCACCAACCACAACAAGCTGGTGCTGCTCAGACACCTCGGCAGGCCTCAGGGTTAAAGTCCCCCCAGCGGACAGAGCAGGTGTACGGCGAGGAACCCGCAGGAGCTGTCACACACCCCCTCAGGGCGAATTCAAGCATAACAAGCAACAAAACAGATTTTAAGGTCTTGAACTGTTCTCACCTGATTGTCTCCTCCAGGCTGTTGGTCTCACAGAGAGACTGCAGCAGGGCCACGTTCCAGAGGACCCGACCAGTCTGGATAGAGTCAAGAGGTGGGGTTGGGGTCAGTACGGTCTGAGCTGAGCCGGGGCAGAACCCCTGCCCACCCAGCCCCCACATCCTCATCATCTGTAACACTCATTTAAAGCTTTGTACGTTAAAGTGGCCATAAATACACAGTTGAGTTCAAGTGACGGGTCTGTTCAGGCTTCAGTCTCCTATCAGGACATGTTTGGGATGTGCAGCTGTTCACTGTGAGGTCTGTGGATAGTCCACACTAACTGGGACACAACTGCTTTTTCATTGCTGTGAGCAGCACAGTGAACTGGTTCGGTCTCTGTTGAAATGAGCAAACTCGGAGCCACAGCCCATGAACTCAAAAACTATCTGGACATATCCAAACAGGACATATGTCAGATTATTGCTCAGACTCTTAAAAATTCATTGCTTCACATAAAACACTTAATTGAAATGTGGAATTTCATGTATACAGCGGGCGACAGATGAAAGGACAGGCTATCACACTGGGGCCAACAGAGCCTTGTTAGCGCCTGTCTTCAAATATCTGAAAGTCACATGAGCCTGAATCATGATTATTATTTACGTCAAATGGTCAAATGCATGTGAACATATGTTTAAGCTGAGTATTTATATGTGTTATGTGTTATATTTATATGTTAAAAACCTGGGGACCTGGTGGTGGTGAATGTAAAAGATGTGTCACGACAAAATGTGACTTCACTTGTGAGTTTAACCTCTGTTGAAAAGTGCTCTGTAGCTGATTAACAAGAAGGAAGTTCCACCCTCGGTAGGAAGTCGTGGTGTTTAACCCCGAGTGCAGCACAGTTTAGGACAAGCCCAGCTCACCAAGGGAGTGTGCACACACACACACACACACCTACACCTCACCTTATCCAGCAGGGTGATCCAAGCAAGCTCCATCTGCCCTCTTCTGACTCCACCAGTACCAGCATCTACACCCGGGGGACTCTGCTGTCTTCTACCAGTGAGAAGCAACAGGGTCTAATCACTGACGTCAGCATCAATAATGTTCTTATTCACTCCCTGCTGCTCTCTCCTTACTGAACGAAACTACATTTTACAGCATGTTGTGTTTATCTGTTCTTTCATCCCCTGCCCAACTGAAACCAGACTTTTGCTGGGGACTATTTTCAGATGTTCCCACCTGGCTGCTCTGCTTTCACTCCTCACCTGGAAAGTCTGGACCCTGTGCTGCCGGTCCATCACTGTTCTGTCCTTGTCCACAGCCTGGAACAGTTTGTAGCTCCTTCTCCTGCTACAGGGTGAAACCCTGAGCAGCTCTGACTCCCTGTGTTCATGGCCTGATGCTTCAGAGGGAGCAGTAACACAGTCTGATCCAGCTCTGCCTTTGTACAGACAGAATCTGTTGCTGTCAGTCACCAACCACAGTCGGGACCTGTGGCTTCATTTACTTCACTGCTGCAGAGAAGATGGACGTTCACCTGCTACTGGAGCCTGAGAAAAGCCTGGTTCATATGGAAGTTACACTGTTTTAGTTGTTGGTGACTTTTGTTTCACCCCTGGCAGTTTGCTTCTTAACTTTGTACCAGTTGAAGTTGTTGACTGGACCTGAACTGGTTATGCATCAAAATAAAAGCTGGAAAAATGGAAGATGGACCCCAAACTTTTGAATGATAGTGTACTTATTTTCTACTTTATAGTCTGTTTAACTTTTATATACAGTTTAATCTAAAACATGTTCTTTTCCTGCCTGTTACAGTCGCTGCTGTAATAAACCAAAGTAATCTGTCTACCTGGATAACATTTATACCTTCATTACCTGGTGGTGACTGTTTAACCCTATGTCTGACCCAGGTCTTAACCAGGGTCTGCAGAGAGCAGCGTGGAGTTCCCAAAGTAGTCCCAGTTACAATAGCATTTTTCTTCAACACATTAAAAATATTTTTGGAAGAAATGCTCAAATGCTGACTCTTCTTCAGTCATGTTTTCACACCTTTAAAGGTTGGACCAAGTAGGAAACTGGGACTTGATCTGACAACCAGTCTCCGTGCACACACAGTGAAACTCATGTGGAACAGATGAACCCAGAGGACCTGGACTCTCCTGGACTAGCGTGTTCACTTTGTTTTCCACCTCTTCATCCAGACAGTTCAGACATCTATCTTTCCTCACAGAGGTCAGAGCTCACAGTCTGGGCCTGTATTCAAGGTCCTATCTCACTGATTGGCTGAGAAAGAGGAAGTGTCCTGTACAGAAACTCAGCCCGCAGCGAAAAGCTTTACGACTGTGTGTGTGTGCTTACTGTCAGTCCAGCGGAGAGATCCAAGGGCAGAGTGCATCCGAAACAGGTCGGACATGCAAACAGTCCAGGACAGACCCACACAGGAGCAACAGGTCGGACATGCAAACAGTCCAGGCCAAGCAGTAAATCCAGGACAGGCCCACACAGGGCGTACATGAGAAAACACCAATGAATATAAGAACACTGTGCTCAGTAGAACACAGGGAGAGCACAAAGCTGCAGGTAAGAGGTGAGCACACCGGACGATCTGTCAGTGAACAAAGGAGCCGGCCATATTTACCTGGGCCTGATCAGGTGAGTGATGACAGGTGTGGAGGGAGAGAGGCTGAGCCACCAGAAACACCTGACTGGACTGGGAATCACAGTTCATAAGGAGGTCCAGAAAGTCGCAGTCTCAGCACCGTGGCAAGGCCACAACCTACTGTAATGGACATAATGTGATGCAACATAACGCAACAACTCTGCTGCTCATACAGTAGGTTAATATTGGCTGGTTTTCTTAGACTAAACAATGACAAACCTCTTTCAGTTTTGGCATCTTGCTCGTCACAACAAAAGGCATTTTTGGATCACAGTTAATCTATGAATTAAAGAATTAACTGGCATATTAATTAATAATGAACATAATTAGTTGCTGCCCTAAAACAGATGACAAGCCTCAAACATTTAAACTGAGTAGAAATAACTGGCACACACACTCTTGTCAAGATATAAACATTAGAACTTAGTTTATATTAAAGCAGAATTTTTAAAAATATTTTATCCATAACCTGTGTCAATGCACAGGTTTTTTCATGCTGGCGCTGCCAGGTGCGCGTGTTTCAGCTGAGTCCACCGCACACCGCCAGTCTCTCAATGGCTCTGTGCTTACGCACTGGCGCCCTCTAGTGGACACAGCTGGAAAGTCAGGAGAAACAATCAGTCCAACTACTATCAGTCACATTTACGTAGGCCTATACCGGCTGATTTTATTTAGAACAAACCTAAAGTTTTGCCCCCAGAATCTATTTTCATAATGTGTTAAAGCCTCCACACACCAGTAGTCCCACTACCGAGATCCTCTCAGGACTGTTTCATCCAACTAAACAGACCAGTTTATCATATGACTTTATCATATGACAAAACGTCAAACACAACTGGCCACGGTTGAAACAGCGAATGTTGCAACTGCAAAGCCATTTTAATGAAAAAGAATGGCTGAAACAAACTAGAGTCCGACAGAGCAGTGAACAGCAGTCTGTTTGTGGCCAGACAATGTGGACCCCGTCTCCTCCAAGCAGCCACAGCTTTAGATTATGAATCAGAAACTCAGCAGAGAGGACATCTGAATCACTCAGACCTGAAAAATCATTCCTTGATCTAGACCACGTGTGTCAAACTCAAGGCCCGCGGGCTAAATGTGGCCCGCCACGTCATTTTATGTGGCCCGCGAGAGCATAATAGGTGCAAATATATATTAAAATGAGTATATTCTGTTTTAAAGCGTGCATTGACCATAAACTACATCTCCCACAATGCATTTAGACCGCGAAGTAACGGCATCTCTCCACTTTAAGTGGAATCGAGAAATCTCTACAAATGATCCCAAAATGTCCACGAAAAGATAAATCGCCCACTTTTCTGTTTGTCAGAGCATCTCAGCCTCAGTTCCTCGGTTGGCTACCAAACTGAACCGGTTAATGAATGAGTTTGATCGGCGCTTCTCTGGTTTTACTATCTTTACCGACCTTTTCACCGCCGAGGTCTGCAGTGCGCCCCATCACCTTCAGATGGAGTTCATTGAGCTTCAAAGCGATAGTGGCCTGAGAGCAAAGTTCCAGGATTTTACCGTCTACTGGCCCCTGGTTTGACGCCACAGCTCCGACTTCACGGAGCTCGTGTTCTGTCAATGTCTTTGTGCCGCAGCACAAGACCTAAAACCAGACATTGACATACTGGCCAGGGGAAAACGGTGTCAGACATCCGGCCAGAAAGCACATAAGCATTTTTAAAAACCTGAATTAAAATGGAATGTATTTCAACCAAGACTAAGAACAGTAGAATATGTGTGCAATTTAATGATTGTGCTTGCATTTTGTTTTGTGTTTGTTATTTTCAGAACATGATCTATGGATGAGAATGTGTGTGAGATGGTGTCTATGGAGGGATCTACTTGGTGTGTTCAAGGATAAGCAGCATCACCTCACTGTTGTTGTTGTTGTTGTAAAATGATGCTTCTGTCACACTTGTTGGTTGTGCTGTAGTTCCCTTGACTGTGACAAAAAAAGTTTTGAATCAAGTTACTATCATAACTTGTTTTTGATATTTTCCTGATTTACTTGAATAGTTTGATTGTTGATTGATGGAGTAATGTGGGTTTCTTAAACTGAACATTTATTTTTACATCTATGCAAATGCATATGTAATATTTGTAACTTTAAGTAATGAATACACAAAGTTTAACAATATAAGGAGTAGTTTAATTTATTTTAAATTACATTACATTTATACTATTAATCTGGCCCTTTGAGGGCAACCATTGTGCTAATGTGGGCCTCGTGTAAATGAGTTTGACACCCCTATTCTAGACTGTGTAGATTTATGACCAGATTAAATAAAACCCATACAATCACAGTTGATATTAAGGCTGTGTCCCGGTGTCTGGGCTCTTTGGGGCAGTGTTCACTCAGTGGTACAGGCTATTCACTCTGTGTTCAAAAGCAGAAACATCCTGTCACTTAATGTGAAAGAATCAACTCTTTTCTGGAAACACTATGATCAGCTGATGGAGATCAGCGTCGCTACCTCACCTGCAGCCTGTACCTATGCTATGTATGTTTATTATAGTTAAAGGAGGTGATGTACTGGACTACATTATATTCAGAGATGTCTCTATATTTTTGTCCTCCCCACCTAGGTTTAGAGAGTATACAACTGTAAATGTGTCCCTAATAAAGTGGCCTGCACATCACATGTAGCGGTCTATGTTAACGTTGGACTATTCATTCTGCATTTAACGAATAGCCTATAACACATGAGATGCTCTTGTCACACAGTCCAAATGTTTTAGACATTTATCAAGTGAACCTGAGGCAGGAAGGGAAGGTGTGGAGGAAGATGTCTGTGCAGGGACCTCTATGGAGACAGGTGTCCCCACCAGCCAGCCACTGCACAATGAAGAGATGTGCTTCATGAGTTACAAAACATGATATAGATTTTAATTAATGGTTTGTGGATAAACTAGGCTGCTTGACAGTCAAATTAGCTATTGTGAAATGTAGAATGCAAAGAAATATGCAACACAGGGAGACTTTGACCTTTATGCCATTAAAACACGATAATGTTCTTAATATTGAAGTAAATACTGTATGTTTAACATGTCTACATTTTTATCTTTACCAGTAGCCGTTTCAAGAAAAATAGTTGATTTGCATAATGTGGGGCCTGTTCCCCAGTAGAGCTTTATGTCTAGCGACACCCCCAAGCTGCTTCCTCTGCAGGTCTGACCAACCCTGTTCTCATTCCAGTACAGGTGGTGGGAAGTGGGGCGCTGCAGCTGCCGCCTGTGCTGGTCTCAGGTCTGTTCCCTCCAACTGGAGTGGCCTCACCTCTGTCCTGGGAGTGGTTTTATATCACTACCATCACTGTAGTGTTTGCTTAATGCTGGTCAAGATGGAGCTGATGTCAACTCGCACATTTTTTAGTTACTATAAATAAACTACTCAGCAGTAGTAATGACAAATATGTGAGAGTTGACATCTTTCTTGCTGATACCTCTGAACTACATATAGGACAGTGAGTGGTGGACTTTTGACTTTCACTACCAACAGTATTGTACAGGTACTTTGAGTTCCCCCCCCCCCACCCCAGTTTAAAACAGACCAGACCTGTGCCTCAGGCTTCATCTCTCTCTACCACTACTTGACATTTTAAAGACTAAAAGGATAAACGGACTGATTAAAGAAATAATCAACAGATCAATAATGAAAACTCGTGTGAAACAAAAACACAGGAGACACTTTTGCATCTTTAAAAAAGAATTTAATAACATTTAAATCCAACATATAAAAATAAAAAACAACAGTGGAAGGACGTAGTTTTCCTCTCCTTGCTAATACTCTTTTAATCATTATATGGCAGAATTTGACAAAAAGAAAAGAGACAAATTGCACACGAGAGCATGTTAGTGAGTCCTGACTGTCTAACAGTAGTGCTCCTGGCACCAGGCCCGGCCGGGATCAGTCTCTGGGGCAGTCCCTCCCAATCTCAGACCGACGCAGCGAGCCAAATACAAAACACCATATTCAGTTTGATCCGCGAACAAAACCAAGTCCTGGTTTCCTCTGCGACACAAAGAAATGACAGCGTGCACGTGTTGCAGCATGGCTACTGGTGGGGGTGGAGAGACATCCTCTAACACACACACACACAGGGGGAGGGGGGAGTCCAAACACCACAGTGACATGTCATGGTCCATCCACTCCCCAAACCCCCCTCAGGTAAATTAAAATAAAAGGGAGGGAAATGAGCTCTAAATGAAAAGTGACATACAAACAGAGGGAGGATGCAAGTTAGAGAGAGACTGCGGCACTCAGCAGGTCGATACTTACGTACACATGACGGGACATAAGCAGGTCCACACTGATGTGGACACTCAGGGGTGTCCTGGAGGTGGGGTGGGGGGTCTGTCTTACCTCGTCACTCAATCACCTACAGCCAATGTCTTTAATTATTGTGATACAGTAATGATTGCAGTTAGCTGAGGCGAGAGGCTGGAGGAGGAGTCGGGGGTCTTCTCACTGCGCTCGGCCCATGACCAGAGTCACTCCCCCCTGCTGACACCAGTCAACCAGCCTCCGCAGCTTATCTGAGTTACCTCCTTCTGCTGCTTCGAAGAGGAGGCGCTGGAGAGGAAGAGACAGGGGAAACGAGAGAGAGAAGTAACGGGGAAAGACATGAAAGAAAAACAGGGAGGGAGGGTGAAAAGAAAGAAGGGGGAGGACAGCAGGTGAACATGCATGTGGCATCAACCACAAAACCCTGCGGCCTCGGTCACTTCAGCGCCTCAGGATCAAACCAGACGGACTGACGAGCACCGAGATCATGCGTCACACCTGTTCTCAACCACTGGGCCATGCTCTCTGCTACTTCAGCGTCCAGTTCTGAGGCTCATGTGCCCCATTGGACAGGGTCAGGGTCTGTGGCTGCTCTGCACTGTGCCCTCACACCTGTCTCTCGGAGCCAGCATAAGGTTCTCCAGCAGTTTGTGCTAAAGTGGCTCTTCTGTGGGATCAGACCAGAAGGGCCAGCCTTCACTCCCCACACATCATAGAGCCTCGAGTGCCCACTTGGGCCTTGGACCACCATGGTAGGTACTGACCACCCCGCACGCCTGCTGCGTCGGAGCTGCTCTGACCCAGATGTGTGATCATCGGTCTGGCCCTTGTCAGAGTCACTGCATGTTTTCCTTGTTCCAGCACAACTTCAAAAACCGACTGTTCATCCGCAGCCTAATGTCGCACCCCGACAGCTGCCATTAGGGGCTTTTCCATTATAGGAACCCACTGAAATGCGTCGAGCCGGGTAACACTCATAACAGGTTCTGCGTTTGTTTCCACTGCACGCTTTGTTGGTGTAAAACAGGGACTTCGGTGAGCGGACTGTGGGCAAAGTGATGAAGAAGTCTGTGTTCTGCTCGGATCAACAGCTGTTTGATAAACTGCTCCTACAGCTTCTGTTACTGGCTGATTGGTGCACTGTGGAGTGGCCCCTCACAGCCTCTGCTCAGCTGGGAGTGTAAGCCCACCCCTTCTCTAAACAGAGGAAAAGCAAAGTAGGACGGTCGCTCTCAACATGGGAGGTTGTGCCAGGTGACGGTTAAGCGAGCACGAGTTCCAATCTGGAACTGTTCTCGATGCCCAGCTCTAGGGAGGGTCTCACAGGACAGGTGTGATGATGTGTACTGAAACTTGAAGCAGACGTTACCAGGTGAGGTGCTTGTTAGTAACATGTGACCCCGACAAAACACCGACGGTGCATTTACATGTTTAGAGATGATCCGAGACACATGAAGTGACCGAGTGCAAACAGGGTGAGAGACATTGTGTGTGTGTTAAAGAGAAAGTGAAGGGGGTAATTTACATCTTTCCACAGGGCAGCACACAGTGGAAGGTTTTGGAGGGCTTGCTGATAGAGAAGTCGCACCTACAAAAACAAACAAACAAGATAAAAGAAGGGAGAGGGGGAGAAAACACCACCAGACATCGGAGCATTGTGCCAATTCAGCAGCGGAATGAAGTCGAAGGGTTAGTCACATTGTCATCATAACAAGAAAGTCTGAAATCAAGAATCTTAAAAAAAACAAACAAACAAAAAAAAAACCTGCAGGGGGAGAAACATGAAACTATGACCAACCATAAAAACCAACCTGATAGAGCTATATCAGCCAAGACTACAGGACAAACGTCATTCATTTTTACATGTGTTTGTGTGTGTCAGGCTGTTGACTTCCTCTAGAGCCTGTGAACTGTCACAGCCGTCCTTCACTGACTCACCTCTGATCGCTCCTTTAGCTCCCTCTCCACAGCTATCGCTCTGCGAGAAACAGCACAAATACTTGGTCACTGACACCTGACAACACAGTGCATGTTGAATCAGTCAGCCTGGTCAAAATGTTCACTTATTGTCAACAAATCCCACAGTCAGATCTAGACGATGACGATGATGATAAGCTACCATCGTACGTTCAGTAACGTTCTGTTTCTGTCATCTGGTGTTGGCACTTCTTGGAAGAAACTGGTTCATGAACCAGATTCAGCTACAATCCAGGGCTTTACAGACAAAAGCCGCTGGGACACACTAGGGAAATGCAGCAGCCCGTCATGAAACGGTAGGACAGTTTAAACACCGTGGATGTAGATGCAACATTAACCTTCCTTTCAGTCCGATTTCATATGTTGCTGTCAGCCAGCCCCAGGATTCACATGGCGGTCGAACACAAGTGATCACTGCTGAATTTTGACCTAGTACACATGTGAGTCTAACTTCTGCTTTTCCCAAGAGTCCAACCACGACCAGTTTGTAGGAATTTACACATAAAACCACTGGGTGTGGCAATATAAAGCCTGACTCAGGAGGAGCTGTCAGGATGTGATGCACACTGTGTGTTAGTGGACGCCTTCACTGCTGGTTTGGTCTTTTCACACATTTGTTGACAAGAAGAAAAACTATCACCAGATTTAACACTTGGACCTACCTGTTTTTGTCAGTGTTCAGACAGAATTAAAAGCTACATCCTGACTCTTTGTGTTACTCTCAGCCTGTTTAGCAGAGAGATGGTTTTTCTTTTGGACTTACATTTTCCAGTTGGCCAAACACTTTGGAGAGTTACTGCACAACATCCTGGCCTGGAATTTCAGATGTTCAATGTTTCCGTCCTGCCACTCCTGATGCAGCAACCTGTGCAGCAACAGATCAGCACTGACACCAACAACTCAACTCAGAGAGCACCGATGACGACAACAACAAGAGCAGCAGCAGTCCCCTGACACACAGACAGGTCTGGTCCTCCACTGGTTACTGACTGAGCTGCAGCTCAGACGATTACAGCCGACTGCACTGATGTAAAGCACAGCGAGTAGAGAACAAAGCCCACACTGACGAGTATTTACCTGCTCAGAGTATTTCAGAAAGTCAGAGGCATTTACACAGCATCATCCCACGCATGCAGCTGACAATGCTTTCAAACTCATACAGAGCCTGCAGCTGGACTTACCCTTGTGTTCAGGTGTGTGTACATGTCTTTCTATAGTTGTGTGGACAATCTAATTCAGTACCATCATTGTGAGGACATGCTGTCCGGCTCCCACCCCTTCAAAGGCCTGGTTGTGGGTCCAGGCTGGTTTTAGCGTTCAAACTTAAACCTGGTTCTAACCTGGGGTAGTGTCAGGGGCTGCATGTTCAGTGAGGGTCCTCACAGCTATAGAAAGACGACTGTGTGTGTGTGTGTACCTCAGGCCCAGCTCAGTGTTGTTGGGCATGGCGTATCGCAGTCTCTCCAGCACCAGAGCATGCTGGGACTGTGGCAGGCACCTCAGGTAAAGAGTCACCACCTGCAGATCCAGTGAAGTGTACAAACATTAATACTGCCCAGGTGCTTCTGAGCAAAGCACTGGGTCTCACACAGTGTATGAGAGGGTGCTCGGGTGCCGACTGTGTCAACATGTCACATTAGCCCTGTTACTATACAAGTAAAACTGTTCTCAGTGTCGGATACACACAACTTCAGTAAATTTGTTTAAAAAGCAGCTACAGCTTTTCTTTTGTAAATTTTAAATAGTCTGAAGTTTTTCCTTTTTCTTATCTTTGCATGTATTTTAATAAAATCAATGTTTTATTGGTGGGATCACAGGGTTCATAGCTGGTGTATACAATTCAGTGCAACACTTCCACCTTAACATCTGTGTTTATGAAGCTCAAAATGTTGCGTTTTTTTTTTAGTGAAATTGTCAGAAATGTATAAATTCAATTACATGTTTATTATTGAGGCCTCAACTAAAGGTGGTGTTGTACTGGACCACATTATGTTTAGAGGCGTCTATATTCTTGTCCTCCCCAGCGACGTGTGTGAAACATTTTGAGCTTCATAAACAGATGTTAAGGCAGACATTTTGCACTGAATTACAAACAATTGCACAGGTTTACCTAATAAAGTGACCAGTAAGTAAAGAAATGACTATGGTCAAAATGTCAGTTGTTTGTGTAGAGCTGCAATGTGTCACCCTGTGTCTGATCTGAGGTTTTAGTCACTGACTGTTGGCACCAAATCTCTGGGTGTGGTCAGTCTCATGCTACCACAGACAAGCGGCAGCCTGGTGAATGACATCTTGCCTTGTTGTGGAAGCGATAGCAGCTCCAGAACTCTGCAGGGTTGAAGGGGACCTCCAGTCGAGACGGGACAGTACTCAGACAGCGATGGACCAGATCTGAGAACAGTTTGGACTGAGAGCTGGGGGCTCCATGGCTCTGCTGACTGCAACTGAATACCAGGTAACTGAAGAGAGAGGAAAGGTCAGAAGTTATTTCCATTGGAGAACACTTCCTAATGGTTCCTGCAGGTGACACTCACTCCAACCACAGTGTGTGAAGCTCTTCCAGCTGCATGGCTGATCCCAGCGCTCTCTCAAAGGCATCCACCGTCTCCTCCACAGAGCCGTACAGCCACTGCCAGCGACTGCAACAACAAGACACTGCTTCAGTGATCACAGCTTGGCCTGGAGGATCCATACATCACAGGGACTCTACAGAGCTCATCAGATATGTCAGTGCCGTCAGCTCACTTCTTGAACCTTTGTGGGTCTGATGCTTCATTTGGTCAGCAAATATGAATATATCCCCCAGCTTAAAACAAATACTTATAAAAGCTGGCAATCCATTATAATGTGGGAGTTTACAATAACTGGTAAACAACAAGATAACGGTGTCTATGGGTTTCAACAGCTGTTTCACATCAGCACAATTTCACTTCCTTCTGTCGCCTTAGAAGACTACTATGTATTTTCCACTAACAGCTCAACATGCTGAACTTTAACGATGTCACATCACAAAGTAAAAAAGTTTCAGCAGATAAAACAAACTTTCAATAGGTCAGTTTTCTGGTGCTCCTGTGAGGAACTGTGAATAAAACATCTCCCAAATGTCCTTCGTCTTGTTTTCCTACTATTGAATTGCAGTCTTCACAGATCTACTCGGTTCTGAGGATCTCACATCTGACCTGGGACTGGGGTCAGACCAGGCCCAAATAATTCTCAATAATACTTTTTCCACAGCAGCAGCCTGTTTCTATCAGGGTCTGTCTGAACTGATGGAGTCAGATCAGGTCTCTTGTTTTTTGAAACAATTTATGCACATGGTGGCACAGCAGCATGGCGATTAGCGCCGTCACCTCACAGCAAGAAGGTTCCGGAGTGCATGTTCTCCCTGTGCCTGCTCCGCTTCCTCCCACAGTCCAAAGACATGCAGCTTAGTTTGACTGGTGACTCTAAATTGCTGTTAGGTGTATGTGTGGTTGTCTCTAACTGTCAGCCCTGTAATAGACTGGCGACCTGTCCAGGGTGGACCCCGCCTTTGCCCAGTGTCAGGTGGGGTTGGCTCCAGGACCCCCACGGCCCTATTGAGGAATAAGCAGTGTAGATAGTGGAAGAATGTATGCGTGTCAGGCTCAGCTACAGTGTCCACGGGTCTGTTTTAGCTGTGGGGTAACATCCAAACAGAAAATCAGCACACACCAGTGAATCAGGTGGAGGTAGGGGGTCTGCTCACTGAGCTGCTCCTCCAGCTCCTTCTTGATGATTGGACCTCTCAGGAGCTCCTCTGTGGCAAAACCAAGGATGTGGCTGGAGGGATAAAAAAAAAACAAATGCTCCTTAATGTGTTTAAAAATGTGATGATTTGTATGTCAAGGATTTCTCCAGCGACTACAAATACCACGTGTGCCCAAATGACTCTGTGAAGGCTGGACCTTGTTATGCTGCTGTAATTCTGCGCAACATTCACCCAAGCTTGTTAAGGTAAACTGCCTGAACTGCAAAACTCGTGTCCTGATTCTTATTTCAACCTCAATGTGTATGAAGCCAAAACTTCATCCTCTCGCGTGTGCTTCGAGATCCATTTGAAGACAACGTACCGCAGGACTTCCACAGGTTTTTTCTGACTCTGTTCGTCCTCACAGAGCGACAGGATGAATCCTCGAAACAGAGGAACGATGGCACTCGACTGCTCCTGTGTAACAAGATGGCAGGAAAACAACAATCACTTCTGGAACTCACAGTGAAAACCAACAGAGTGGTGTCAGTGTCACAGGAACAGGGAGCAAAACTCTGGTTCTGACAAGGGAGACAGCAAGTTCAAAGTTCGACATTGAGTAACAATTCGGTTTCATTCTGAATCACAAAGCTCCCCATATTAACGGGTTTTTACTTTGAATCGGGTGGTTTTGAATATTAACAAACCTTGTGAATGCGTGAGCTCACCTGAGCCATGAGGAACTTGCAGGAGTGGTAGAAGACCTTGGCGTTGTTGGGACACTCGGCCAGAGCGTGCAGCCACACGCTGACCGCCTGGCCTCCGTTTCCCTGCCTGATGTGGAGGTCAGCCAGTGCGTCTCGCAGGATGCACGACTCGGGACATGACTCCAGCAGAGGCTCGCACAGAGCAACACCCTCATCATACCTGGAGGGAAGAACATCTTTATATGCTGTGCTCACGCAGGTCAACAATCAGAAAAGCACACTGTACACATCTTAAGCATAATGCACACTGACCAGCCACAACTTCAAAACCAGCTGCCAGTGGTTTGACCAATCAACACATCCAAGAGGCTGCATGTTTCATTTAAGACAGGTGATGTCAGATATTCTGCACAAATTTGATGTCCCTGCATTAAAACTGGAATCTGCAAATAAAATCTCACTTTTTCTAAAACTATTAAACCCTTTCCACACATTAACACTAAATCTTAAGCTGTGTACAAAAGCATGTGAACACGTGCAACAGCACTGATTTATTTGCAAGTCTAGTTGTTTTACATTTGTTAGTTTTAGTTGAAAACTCATTTTAGTCCTGAAATTTCCTTGTTTGTCTCAACTTTGTTTGTCTTGTCTAATTCCCAGTGGGCTGTAGATGAGTTTAGCTCATAAACTTGTTTCTTCCAAGACGCGCCAACATCAGCTGACAGAGGCAGGACATTACTGAATGTCAGATGTTTCTTACCAGCGGCAGTGCAACAGGTCAGCAGCTAAATCAACATATGAATAAGAGAGGTCTGTCTTTCACATTATCATTTAGTTTTATTGGTTGTAAATAATTTTTTCTTATAGTTATCTTAAGTATGTTTAGTCTCATTTTCAATGTCAAAAATAAGAAATGCTGACAATATTACTCCCCTGTACAAAGTACAATCTAAGTACAAACTACAAATAATGATTAGATCAAACAGGGGCATTGGTCCATACAGTTGATAAACATCCTTCATGAATGATGCAGGCAGGTGTGTAAAAATGTATACACACACACACACTAGAAATGATACATCGTGCCCTTTAAGTAGAATTTCTGTATCAGATGAGTCAGTGGTTCTGATTAGATTTCAGTCAGCTCCTTGCTGCAGATGCAACAAAAACACTATCAGCTCACCTCTGTAGCAGTTTGTTTAGGAAGATGAGGTTGGTGTGAAGAGGCAGACAGGCCATCGTCCTCTCACTCTGAGACAGAGAAGCATCACTGCATCGACTGATGGCATCTTAGGGGGAAACATCATCACAGAAAAGAGGTTGCAATGTCAAACTAGGATCAGTACAATAACCTGAAGGCTCAGCAACAATGACTATGTTGCGTTCAGCCTGACTGGTTCAGGTTTCGTCTGAGTACCTTGGAAGAGAGCGATGAGGATGTCGAGCGGTGTGCTGATGTCCTGTGGCGTTCTCCACGGCAGCAGGAAGGGCTCTCTGCTGACCAGTCTGGACGGCCCGGACTCTGCCGGGTCGTACAGGCTGGACGGCAGCTGGTCAAACTCAGTCAGGTGAATGTAGGAGAGCCAGACCAACGCCCGGTCACTGGCTGTCAGGTGGTCAGCTATACTCCTGTCGTGTGCTGATTTCAAGGCATTCTGCAACCAAAACCAAATAAAAAAACCTCTTATAATTTATTGATCCCAGAGGATTACTTTCTTTTTTAATTTAAAATCAAACTGTCCAGGAACAGATGTGAAACTGTCTAAATCCAACACATTTACAACATACTGCATCAATGAGGCATAAAATCCTAAACTGTATTTCAACAACAGACTTCACTCCAACATCCGCATGACTTTCTACAATCAGCTGTTGGGATATAAACCACAGGGTGAGGAACAAAATGTAAATGATGTTATTTGATGAGTTTGTTCTTGGATTCACGAGTTTATTTCATGCTTTACGGTTCTGACACGTTAAGTCCATGTCAAAAGAATTTTCAAATCAGCAACGAAGTCACTGGAATCTTTCAATAAGAGATTGGTTTACTTGCAGCAAGGAGACAAGTCAGCATAGGCGTACCGAGTCGTCTGAAAGAGCTTAGTCTAAACATCACACAATATATGGGACAAAGGGAACTCCCTAAAAACGCAACCCAGGCGTTAATCAAGTTGAGAAGAAGATTTAAACAGGAAAAGAGAACCTGAGCAGGTTTGCCCTGATAACCCCTCAGACACTAAACAATATGTTGTCTGTGTATCTTCACAATATATGGCAGGCAAAGTTTATGGCTGGTTCCCTTTAAGTCTGGAACGCCATCTGGCGAACATAACAATACAGAGTATTAAAACAAAGAAAAAACATGTCCTTCAGTTCACACAGGTCCCTGTAATCTGTGGTCTGTTCTGAAAGTTTATAATCCATTGAATAACATATGTTGGTTAATATATTGATTAAAGCACAGTTTAAAACATATTCAATGTAATTTTCATGACAGTCCGTTTTGGCATTTTCATCTAAGGAGCAGACATTTGGTACCTCTGTTCTAAATCACCAAGTAGCAACAAACGATGTGTTTTAGGCAATCTGACCTGAACATGACCGCAGTCATTTCAGATCATGCGTCACCTGTAAAATGGCCACAGCGCTCTCCATCCTGCCTGTGAAAAGGTTGAGGTGGACTCTGTAGAGCAGAGCCTCCATCAGCTGGAAGGACAGTTTCTCTGTGACGACTGAGGACGCCTCAGGGAGAAGAAACTGCAGCAGGCGGTCACAGACGTAGTCCTTCCCATCGAATGAACTCTCCAGGTTCAGATACTGCAGGGGGGAGATAGTCAACGGTCAGTAAGACCAAAACTGTGACAACTACACAGAGTTCTCTTTTCTCTCCAAGATCACCGTTTCAGGGTCATCACATCGTTTTACTATCCCATGATACTGTGATAAATACTGGATCAGTCTCCTGCTCAACATCACTGTGTTTTCATGATACTGAGTTTACCAAATAGTTAATCTCATTTGCCCATTTTCTCCTTGTCTGGTCTCTGACACTGAACCAGGCTCAAACATGGATTTCATCTCAAACACTACATGTTAACCAGGAGTCATTTCCAAACTGTTGCAGCCGATGGAATTGGGATTTCATAAATCACAGTGTGGTTTGACAGAATCATCAATAATCCAGTTTAATGAAAACACTGTACAATCACAGAAGGTCAATGAAGCTTGTACAATAAAGTCACACAGTCCTCGACCCTCCAACCTCATGTGTGAGTGGAGGGACAAAAAGAAGGGAAATGCGTTTTGAGATTTTATCAGGTTAATATGGAAGAACATTGCAGTATAAAATATTTAGAACAAGGAGATGTGTACTGTATTTAATCCAAGTATAAAGTACAAATCACCCACTACCCCATCTTTTAATGCTGAAAAGCGAGAAAATTGTCACAAAATTCACTATGAACCATATTATCAATTTGCCTGATGAAGAACAGAGGCTCCAGTGGTCACTGAAACAACAATAGAGCTGTCAGCCGGAGTGAGACACGGCTGAGCTCTAGCTCACTCAGTGTAACAGCATCAGTCTTTAAAATAAATCTCAGGACTTACATTCCACCACACTTGGTAGTCAGGCGCATGCTCCACAGCCATCTCACACATCTCCTGGACCTCCTCCCTGCTGCCGCGCCTTGAGAACAGAGACAGATAGTGGCTCCACACCTCTGGGTTTTCACAGTTACTTTCCAGAGCACGAGACAGCGTGTTCAAGGCAGCCTCCAAACACTCGGCTGCAGGTCTACAGAAGAAAACACAACATTGTACTCTCATTTGATAAAGAAAAGTTGGAGATTAAATAACAGAAAATAAACCAGAACTCAGAATCAGTTGGTTGGTGACTTACGTCTCATTCTGATTGAGGTATCTGAATGCCAGTTTGATCCACAGCTGAGTGTCACAAGGACTCTCTAGGATGCTGGTCTCCAGATTAGATATATCGTCTGTCTCACTGACAAAATAACGTTTGTCCTCTGATGTAACACACACATCCAGGACAGACAGGCTGGTCTTAGAGCAGTCATCTGTACAGACACACACACACACACACACAGGTGTAAGTGACTGAGCATCAATACAAAATTAAACATACAAGAATGTCAATAAAGCTGCTCCTCACCACATTTCCCAGGTGAAGTGTTTTCACCCGCCGTTTCCTCCTCGCTGTCGTCATCAGGACTGCGGCTGCTCTGTACTGACGGCTTCGGCCTCCACCTCCTCAAGTCTTTACAGGTGGTGAACGGAGGAACTGGAAACAAGAAAAGAAGCCAGATATCTGTAACCTGTTTCTATGATAATGAGAATAAATGTCACTTTTGGCTTGTTCCCGTTAGGGGTCGCCACAGGAAGCCAACATGTTGACATTTGGCACATGTTTTACACCGGATGCTCTTCCTGATGCAACCCTGATTCGAACCGAGGCCATAGCAGCGAAGGCGCTGCACCCCAACTGCTAGGCTAGCAGGGAACCTCCTATGATGATGATGATGAGTATGAAAAAATAAAAAGTTCACCAACCGTGCCGTTTACTTTCATTGACTTTACTGACGAGGAGGACAGCCGTCTGATCAACTCCCATACGGTCTTTGTTTGCACCAAACAACTTCTTCATATACTTCTCTATAAAACAGAGAAGTACATCAACACCCAGAGCTTCACTGAAGTCAAGTCTACAGCGAAGGTCAAGATATTTTACAAAGCAGATGATTTGTTTTGGCCTACCTGTGGCGACTCTGATGTCCTCGTCCAAGCTGCTCTCAGAACAGCCAATCAGAGACAGATTGTACGACAGGATATCCTGGAAAAGCTGGTTTCCACTCAAAGTGCAGTTTCTCATGTGCTGCCTGCAGTACAGAGACAGAGGGAGCCAACATTAAACACCACAGAGACGGCACACAGCAAGTCAGCAGAGAGGCCAAAGGAGACTTTTCACTTACCATCTGCAATCATCATCATTGCAGGTTCCTGTGAGATCAAACCGACAGAAACACTTCTTTGGTTCGATGGTGTTGCTGTAGGTTACAGAGCTGAGTGATAACTTCTCCTTGGTCCTGTAATATGGGCTGAACCTAGGAGGCACAACAAGTCAAATACATCATCTGCAGAGCCAGGTCAGTGTTACCACTCATTTGCCAGTAATACACGTATTACTGCAATCCTTTATGTTCTCTGGAAAAAGCCAAAGGGAAACCCTCATTCTTTTGACTCAGGATCTACCTCATGTAATTCCATCTGTACATCGCAACCACAATATCCCAGTTAACTTTAAACCAGGGAACACCCTGCAGCAGAGACTGGTCCACCCGAAAGACAAAACACCCAGACATAAACAGAGTGATGTGGTGTATGCAATTAAGTGTAGTCAGGAGTGTAACGACTTGTACATTGGTGAAACTAAGCAGCCGCTTCACAAACGCATGGCCCAACACAGGAGGGCCAACTCCAGTGGACCAGAGTCAGCAGTCCACCTCCACCTGAAGGACAAAGGACATTCTTTTGAGGACAGTGAAGTCCAGATCCTCTCCAGAGAACATCACTGGTTTGAGAGAGGAGTTAAGGAAGCTATTTTTGTTAAAACAGAACACCCCTCACTAAATAGGGGTGGCGGACTAAGACACAACTTGTCATCCATCTACAATCCTGTTTTGAGATCTCTGCCCAAACATGTCCACCAGGACAATAGGCGTCGGTCCACAGGGGAGGTTTCAAAGACAGGTAACGACTCTCACCGATAATGGGCTACAACAACTCAGTCGTTAAGGGACATTGTTGGCCTTCAAAGGTCTGAAACATCTCTTGGATGAGAGGTGAAACGTCTTCGACCTAGAAATCTAAGTCCAGTTGGTTTTTTCTAATTTTTTTTCAGTTTACTATGACCTGGATGACAGAATCTGCACAGACATCTTCCATCGGTACTGTTTACATACTCATTTTGCACATGCGTAATTACACACACTACTGAATATTTGCACTTCACGGCTCCCACATAGCATATATTCTCTCTGTATTGTGTTCTTGCTGTATTTTTATTGTGCTTCTTTCACTTGCTGCTTTAAAGTGCCTTAGATTTGTGTTATTGCCCATTTAGATTTGTTATTGCTCACCTACTTTATATTTCACTTGTATTTTGTGGCATTCGTGTCGATGGAAAAGTAAGAATTTCATTGTACAGGGAAACAGGTATCCTAACTGTGCATATGACAAACACTTTTCCTTCATGACCAAGTCAGCTGAACTATAACAAGAAAACCTTCCTGTGCTATTCCGTCAGCTTTTTCAGAAAGTGCTTTTGTCTTCATGATGAAAAATCCATCACATTACAGACTCAGCATCAGTCAGATGTGGTTTATACCGCAGGTACAGCTGTATTTATATCACTATATACAACTTAACCCTAACCGTTTATTATACTACAGATACATCTGTATATAATACAAATACAAATGTGTTCATACTTTGATTCAGTGTTGTAAAATAATACAATGTCAATAATTGGACGAATCATAAATGAACTGCCAAGTGAGATGTGCAGCATGTTGATGGGGATTCTACCTGTATGATTTAAAGACTAGCAGCGGGCTGTGATATGGTCCAAAGGGAACGGGCTTCAGCTCTGTGCTCCCCGACTGACTCGATGTTGCATCCAGCTCCACTAAAACCATCTACAGTGAGATAAAAATCATAACACTCGTGAGCAAGGACATGTGGTACTATTGTCTTCCAAATAGCATTTTATAGACAATGTATTCACTGCAAAATTACTCACAAGATGAAAAGAACATAAAAAAAGCTCTGGTAATCACCTGTCCAGTTGACAGGTTGTCAACATCCTCTCCGTGGTTCTGTAGCTCTCTCAGCAGCACCTCTCCCAGCCGGGCCTGCTGCTGGTACCTCAGCTTTAGCGCATCCACATCCAGCCCTGCAAACATCTCAGCAGGAGCCTTGGAGCTGCTCGAAGTCTTACCTGGTTTGATGATGCTGCCGTCTTTGGCTGGAGTGGAGCTCAGCTGCTCAAGGTTGGGTTTGGTGAAGGAGCAGCTGGACTGACGGAAGGAGTGCCGGCGGGGGCCTTTAGCAGGAGCAGGTGTGGGCTCTGATTCGTGATCATCGGCCTCTGTGACGTCTTCGTTGTCCAGAGTGAGTTTATCCTGGGTGAGGTCGTGTAG